CACACTCGTTTGACATAAAACCGGTTACGAGGTCAAACCGTTGTGACGCAAAGAGCTACGTTTATAGGAACTTTACTATACAAGTATAATGCAAATTTTATTTTCATATAGTATAATAAATAATATCAAAAAAAGGTCCCCACAAAAACAGATATTAAAGAAGTATTTGTATAAATTTAGTTACATACTTAATTTTGTTTTATTTTATTTTATCTTCACTTCAATGGAACAATTTTTATTGATATACTAGTTTTTGCCCGCGACTTCGTCCGCGTTAATTTCGTCATTAGTAATAAAGGTATAGCTGACCGGGCGAACTCTATTCCGTCTTCAATAACCCGGTATTGGTATTTATTAAATTTCTACTGTTTCAATCGAACAGAATGATTGACATATTAGTTAGTTGTCAAGTCTAATGTCAAAAAATCGTTTGTATGGGTAATAGAGAAGGGCTGTTTTTAGGGTTTTTTCGGCAATCATTCCAATTTTTCTCACCTTTTAAACCTTCCCTGGACTTCCAGGAGTATTTCAAGACTAAAATTAGCCAAATCGGTTCAGCCGTTCTCGAGTTTTAGCGAGACTAAGGAACAGCAATCCATTTTTATATATATAGAAGATATATATACAACAAATTACATATATACAATAGTCGTCTTATAATATACAAGATGTATTATAAGTCAACTATTATATTTATATAAATAACATGACCATTTTTGAAAAACAGTGTTTTGTGGTCAAAAAACATTACCATATAGGATACCCAACTAACATAGGCTCCTCTGGAGAATAAAGAAAACTCGAATTACAACGTAGGAAATACAAAGACATGGCCATCAAAAAATTGGAGAAATCATAAATACTAGTTGTAGAATATAAATTTTAGACAAGTTATTTTTTGTGGTTCATTTTAATAAAGTTCTTCGTTGTTCTCTTGATACCTTTGCCTAACCTTTAAATGACCTTCGAATCAAATAGACTAATTGATATATACAGTTAAAATTCGTTTCCATTTAGCTGTAATTTGGATAATTTTCTTTTCTAGTCTTATTAATTTTTAATAGTTATTGACTTAGAAGTTTGCTTAAATAATAAATATTTCACTAAAAGAAGATTTGATGCGCATATGTATTTATGTCTCTATCTGGCATACAATTAGTAAAATTGGTGCAATAAAATGTAAAGTTTTACCCAAAACAAAATCCGAATGAAGTCTGAATCGTAAATTTGTTCAATTTATTGTTATCTCCCAAAACGCTTCTGGCGCCATTGAATCATACATTATTATATATTGTTTTTATGTTCTGCCAACAAATTTAGAACATTCATTGTATAACAATAACGATATTTGACACTTCACAATTCTATGTTACGTTAATCAAAACATTTATCAAACATAAACATGGAAAATGACTATTATACAATACTATCATTTTGAAAATGGATAAGACGTCTTTATAAGACGACAATATTTAAAGACGTAATAGACCCTAATAATTCACAATGCTACTAATTCAGCGTATCAATGTTATTACATTCGTATTCGACTTTAAAGTAATTTTCCACTCAGATCTTTTGTTTTTTGTATAAAATTTTTGGCAATCAAGTAGCGGATACAACTTTTTGTAGACCTTTGTATTATGGATACGTAAATAAAATATAATATAACCATGTACGTGTCTTTACAAATATTATTATATAAACGGATATCAATACATCAAAATATTTACAATTCCTTAACGTTCGTTTGAATTGATTAAATACTTAGTGAAAATTCTATATAATATTATTTAGTAATTAAACATCAAATAATAATAATTTGCAATGAAGCCATATACGAGTACTATTAATTAAAACCAATGGTTACAAATATTGGTCAGTGTATTCCGAGCGGGTGAATTTAATTAACTAATTAATTATTATACATTAACAAAAAGGGTTATAAGATTAGAATATATTTTTATGAACATTTTTGTGCATTTTATAGTATTCCTTATCATCCAAAATAGAAGCAAGATGATTCGGAGTTAAAGAAATCATAATATTTGTACTGTTGTATATATATACATATATTATATATAACAGTACAAACTTATTAATGTCAAAAAAAAAGTAATGCTGACAAAGAGTCTCATAAAGACAGAATGTCGGTTCGTTCTATGTTACACAATAATATGTTTTCAAAATATTGACAGATTACGATATTTTTTTTGTAAATATATAGTTATTGTCTAAGATATGTAAAATATTATTTCAGCTTGACCTTTTTCGTTTTTAAATATAATTTTTATTGTTTTGAAGTCGAGGCAATACTGATATCGAACCTATGTTTGAGTATTTCCTCGACAACTGGTAAGGGACATTAAAAAGATAATAGTTTTTTTACTACCTTGAACAGATTTTTCTTTAACTCCCCAATGGTATTGAGATGAAATTTCCTTACCGATGTATCGCATGTGAAAAATATACCTTCTCCTCACAGAGCAATTCCAAAACGGGCAGTAACTCTCCTGAATTACAAAACTTCGAGTCTAAAATGTAGAAATCTATACATTATTTCAGAACATGGAACATAAAGTTGATTTTCCTGGTTTTACAGATTTGAAAATTAATAACTACTTCTTTGGGAGGAACAGTGAGGGTGATTATATCTTAAAATAAAAAATCCTATTACAGAAGTGCATTGCTCAACTACAGGAAACTTCAGGGAACAGAGTTCTCTCATCAAATATGCTGGTACTGAAAACTTAAAGATAAATAATTCTACTAATGTGATAAGATACACCGCAATAAAATTCTCCCACTTCCAAGCTTTCAATCCCGATCCAATACTTATATCAGAAAATAGTAGACACAGTAACAGAATATCCCCTAGCTTAAGTTTACGTGCAAAACTTGTAAACTTAAGCTAAGCATAAACCATCCTAAAACTCTGTATGTTCGGGTTATAATTGAGTTTGTAAAATATATTTGGCTACTTTGAAAGCCTATTTGAGGAATTGATACCTAACACTTAACCTTAATTTTTTTATAAGTATTTGCTCATAGAACTTGAACTTATACACTTATTTTATTATATAATTAGATAAAAACTTTAACGTTGGTTTTTAAGTTTGGTTTGAAACCTGATAACTTATCCTACCAACAGTCGGAATTATAAAATGCTTGTAACAAACTTACTAATTACAACTAGATATCTTAATCGTTCTGCTATAGATATTATGATTAGAGTTAAAGTGAAATTTAATTCAGATTTTGTAAATAAATTTTATTTTGAATTTACATCTTTAATCGAAAAAACAATTTTTTTTAATGTTGTATAGGTAAACTACAGCACAATATTATTTTTTTTATTAAAAAAAGTATTTCCTACAAATTAAATTTAATATTATTCAACACAATACTATTAGTATATACTCATGGTATTGAAATAATTATATTTCGACCTGAGTTGCCATTTTTTTTAACAATATTTAATCTTTAGTTGAAATAATAGAACAAAATAAAATTGACGGAAAAATACAAAGGCCATAAGAGTACAATCTAAAGCATCCACTGCTACGATTATAAAGATTACAAACAATTACGAATTATTTATATTAATTTGTCTAAACATCATATCCTGAATGCGGTTACATTAAAGTGTCCATATTAATTTATATAAATATGGAAACGAAGTACACCACAAATAAATTTTAAATTTATAGTAAAAACATCAGACACATAACTTTTACCTAAAAAAAATACAGCTGTAATTATTTCCTATTTTAATAGGTCCACACTATTCATGACTTTTTAACTTGTATATTAGGGAAACCGTTTAATATCATTATGTTAAGTATAATAAAAAATGTATTTTATAATTAAAATCATAACAGTTTAACAAAAATTGCAACGAAAACCATAGAGGCGTGCCAATAATATGTATTCATTCAATGCCTTAAATGTTCTTTCTCACATCATTACTTCCTTTGTGGCAAAAGAATCAACTCCCAGCTTTATTATTCAAACACATTCTAGGATTGTTCCAAATTTAATTAAAAGACCGAAATTAATCGTCTGTGTGCGTTACGTCGGCCTAAAGTAATTAGCCTTGGTCTGTAATCTTTTGTAAAATCTCTATTTCCTACAACTGAAGCAAAAAAATAAAATAATAATCTCTACATAAAATGAACTCAGCCGATGTTAAACACGCTGTATTAACTACAATATTTCTTGTTTTGTTTCATTATTTTTAATAACAAGTGACATCCCGTGTAATTATGTATATTATATTCATATTGTCTTTATACTCATTTTGAAGGTTGTTATAATATTTTATTTTGATTTTTTTATTTATTCTTCATAACAAAAACTAATAAAATATATACAAAAACATTTACGAATAATTCTTAACAAATCAAGGCTTTACGTAGTGGTTTGTAAAATATATTTAGGCTTCCGAACAAGGATATAAGTTCCAACTTTAAATGAACATGTGTTAGTCAGTTTGTTCTTCGAAACAAGACATTACAGTTTCTTAGCACTTTTTTCACTTAATTATACAGAAATCTAGGAAACTGAAGATGATTTTAACGATTAGTTGATTCCTTTATTAACTTGAAGCATACAATAATACACTAAAGTTTTGAAATTAGGAAAGCAGGGACAAGCTCTAACTGTTTATTACTAATCACATAAAGATATTCTTAGGGTAGCCATTATAACTGCAGTTGTTATTTGAGTCATATAGAAATTGTTAGTTTTAAGAGTTTATAAACTTCTGAATATAAATAAGGAATTCGGTATAAATTTTATAAGAAATGAACATAATATGTTAATAGTATGTACATTTATTTCATATAGACAAGTATATTTAAAAATATTGCATAACATTGAAAAAAACAATAATGTTGGATTTTCCTGAATAAGTAATTACAAAGTAATTGCAAGAATATAATTTCTCTCTTTTTTTAAAATACAATCACCCAAAAACCAATTTAAAAACAACAGTTATTATTTTAGTTCTTGACATAAGATGATATGTCACCAGATAAAACCTTTGTAATAGGTACAGAGTCCACAAGCTTCGTTAATATTTCTTGCAAATACTTTAAAATTTGATCAAATATCGTCTTCCCGAATAACTTCAATATTGTCTTCCAATTCTCGTTTATATATGATACAAATTGTTCACCTGAAATGAAAATGTTTTAAGTTGTTTTGTTAGAATGTACTAAAAAACATTATACTCATAGTTTTAAACGTATTCTAAATTTATTGTAAAACTTTACTTACTGACATCTTCCTCTCCTATAAATATGTTATCAGCTGAGATATGGAAATTTTGCATGTCATATGAAAACTCAGTTTGATCCAAAAGAGGAGATATATAAATTTCATTATTTTCTTTTCTTACCAAATTGTAGTGAAATCCTAAGTCCATGTGTAATTTTTCTAAAAAGAAATAAAAATGGACTATTTATTTCTTAATGCATTTTACATATATACAAAAATAAGACGTAATTTTTAAGTTTTTGAATAAATGAAAAATAAAATGGATCTTCTTTTAAAATAAGTGAATTGTATGTCTTTTAAAGAAAATATCTTCATTTATTTTTTGTCCTTTACTCTTTTTACTCATTCTTCATAATGTTTCTTTTTGGAAAAGTATTTTATTTTGATCCAGCAGGAAGCTTTCGATAGCTTATGATTCCCTTGCGATTGTTAACATATATTAAACAAATAGAGCATAAAGGGCCCAATAATATTGATTTTACAGACATATATTTTTTTCGGAGATACTGTCAGCAAATTAATAACACAAAATTTGTTCACATGTAGGTACCCAACTAAAAAATCATGACTATAAATTCTTCAATGCTTTATACCTGCTTTTATTTCACCATTTCCATTTCCATGGATATTTTTGCCAGCATAAACATGATCAGAAATCGGGTTTGTACCACTTACTAAAAATTTCCCTTTTGCTTCAATATCACAAGTAATGCCAACCTTAGCTAGTCCCTTTTCTATATCGCAACTAAAATAAAGCAAAATATTTTAAGTTTTTTTTCTGTTAGTATACTATTTTTATTTTATTTTAAATTGTAACGTACCTAAAACTGTCAATGATACAAGTTTTGACTCCCACGCCTTCAGCATCTTCTATAGTGATATTTAATAGGCCTAGAATGGGTATGGTGATGTCTTTAATTTTAAATGGATCAAAAGGTGGGACTCCATACTCTGGTACTCCAGTTGAACTGTATTCTATTATAAGTTTCTGGAATAGGTTTTTCAGACAATCATGGTCTTTGAGGGCACACTGGGATAACGTATCAACTGAAAAAAAACACATTCTTTATATTTATTCCTTTTTTATCAAATTGCAAATAAATAAGTCAGTAGAATTTAAAAGAAGAGTACAGAAATTCAAAATAAATTCTTCCGTTTTATTATTATATTTATGAATTACCGGGCTATCGTTATAATATATAGTTGTTATTCAGAGCTATATGAATTTATGACAGATAATTTTCGGTTTTCAAATCGTGTATATATCAAGAGATGGCATATAAGGCTGTTTAAAAAATCTGTGGGAATATTCGGGATAAGGTAAATCAACAGAACGATAAAACCAGTCAAGTGCGAATCCGACATTCTTTACGACCTGCGATCGATCTATCATCTTAGCAAATAAAGGGCGCAGTTTGTTTACTAGATAGTTTATTTCTATCGTGAAATTGGGTCAACGTTTTTTATGTATATAATTGGTTTCATAGAATGGATGGTTAAAAATTTTGATATCTTTGATATTGAATATGAGCTACGAAACTTAGTTCTCGCAGAAACAGTCATCGTTCTGAAAATCTGACATGTTTAATCTGTTTGAGCTATAATGGTTTTATATTTCTTCTACAGAACCCAGTTCTTCTGGTTTTTACTTGGTTTAATTAAACCTTCCTGTACTCGAGCTCGGAATGTCAATGAATGTTTTGTTTACCTTGAACAATAAACTGCCGTCTAACTTCTAATAAATAAATAAGTAATAATATGTACCAAACATGCAGCTTCATATTTTTATTTCTGTTAACATTTTTATTTGACAATAAATTCTTAACATAATTTTCTAATCTATAAAAGACTGAAAATCTACATACATTCATACAAAAGAAGTGAACTGGTAACTTTTTTTTTTGTTTTTAGGTTTTGGTTTTTGACTTTATTTCTTTTTAGGTTATATGTTTACAAACTAGGAGGTACCATTGCAAATGTTATCTATATGAATGCGATTTTTTTAATGAAAGGGAATAATGCTATATAAACTTCAAATTACCCAATTAAAATGGCCCATTCACAAATTAAATCCGAATTAAGTCCATCAACCGTTTTAAGATATCAACATGTCAATATGTGCTTATAGAAAATATGTAATAACTGACAAAAACATATGTGTACTCACCGAATGCTGATTGCGAAGATCCTAGTAGTGTACATACTACTAATATGGCCCACTTTGATATCATTTTTGATGCTTCTTCTATTACCACTTTACTAATAATAATTCTATTGCAGCATAATTCGCTTTATATTTGAATTATTATGAGAAAAAAAACCGGATGTGTTAAAAAATATGTTGCATTTTAATTTTCAATTGTTAATGTAATTTAACCTCAAAAAAATATGGATATTAAAATTTAACGCATATCTTAAATTTTTATAGCGTTAATGCAATGAATATGGCATGTATAAAAAATGTTTTGTATAATAAATTGTCTAAAAGTAACATAAATTAATTTTTTCAAGAGTGATTTTTCAACTTGCGAAGCTAGTTATAAAATTACTTGTATTAAAAATGGAATATTAAAAGTCCTTAGTAGTATAAATTAATTTAGTTATACGATTTAGTATTATAATTATATAATTGAAAGGCAATCATAAAAAGTGTAGATATATACGACATTATACAAAAAACGAGCAATTTTAAAATTTTATTCAAAATATTTACTGTCTTGCTATATGTATCTGCATTGGTAAGTATACATATATCAGACAGTAGTTTTTGTATATGTAATTAAAATCATTGAAATGAAACAACAATAAGGAATTCCACAATTATTTTTTTATTTTATATAATATATTTTTTGTTGTTATCTCATACATACCAACAAGGTTAGGCGGTTTATAAATTAAGTATTCACTAAAAAATACTAAGCATGATATGAATTTAAGTGTCCCCTCACATAATTTGCTCGTTATTGTTGTTATGAGAAAAAACTGTTTCCGAAACCTTTGTCAATGCTACCTATTTCCCAAAGTATTACTAACAAAGTCAAATCTCGCTTCAAAATAGTTATAACAAATATCTATATATTAAAATTAACAAACTTTCAATCTAAAACAAATTGATATATACATTTATATAAACTTAAATAAACTGATTATTACCACAGCATTGACAGTCACAGAAAAATCAAAGGTTACAAACGAATAATAAAATTTTATTTCTATTTATAACACCAAACAATGTTAAATGTTATTTAAAGATAATTGTGTTTTTTTGCTAACTGCAGGGTTTGATATGTTGCACATTTTTTTAATTTATAATTGCGTACTTAATATTTGGTTCTTTATAGTTTGAAAAACGTAAATATATATTTTTTGTGACAATAAAGAAAGCATACAAAAATCAGTGGTGGCCTAGAGATTAAAAGGCCCGCCTCTCATGCATGAGGGACCGGGTTCGATCCTGGCAAGTACAAATGTGATTTTTCCGAGTGATAAGTATTTTCTGAGACTATTTAGACTCCACTGCCAGACGGTGAAGGAAAACATCGTGAGGAAACCTGGACTTGTAATTTCATTATTATAAGTTTGAAATCACCAACCCGTCTTCAGCAAGCGTGGTGTTTAATGCTCAAGGCTTCTCCATGTGAAAAAAAGGCCTTTGCTCAGCAATGGGCTCTCATAGGCTGAAAATTATTTACAACACGTAAGGCAGACCCTGGCTAAAGCTGGGAAATTGCCAGCAAGAAGAAGAAGAAAGAAAGCATACAAAAATCTCAAGTTCCATTACTACAACTATATCCCTGTATATATATTATAAGTAAGGTTATAGCTTACTCTGTAGGTTTTCATTGCGATTTACTAGGTAATGAACAAATTGTATTTTCCATAACACCAACCGGAGGTATATGTTATATGGCTAATATATTTAATAACTAATTGTATAAGTATATAGTTCAACCAACAAACAATATTATTATACGTGTTATTGAGTAGTTAACACGTTTTATTATAATAAGTATAAATTGAATATAAATAAATAGTTTTATTGCTATTTCCTTGAATGGTGACCATAAGCCAGGAGGAAATCATACGGGAAAAGACTAGAATTTTTTTTAAAGTCGTCGTGGTTTTTATATCTGAGAACACATATTTTAAGAAAAATTCTATAAAGTTTTCTGTTTTGTTTAAAAGTTTTAAGGAATGGCATGATATCTCAAATTTTTGGCTGTACACGTCCTAATAAAATGTTTTAATATGGAAATTTTGCTGGTACTATCAAAAAAGGTTAGTTTTATTTTTACATAATACGGTTTTATTACCAACACTTAGCCCTATGACAAACTTCATTTAACCGAGATTTTAAAAACAGAGTTACGTAAGAATAAAGGGAGTAAAAATAAACGATTTAAAATTTGTTGCAATATTTATTAACATAACCATAAACATAAAAAGTTTAATAGTTTTTAAACATAAGAACTTAAATCATTTGTAAAGAAATGTTTTGTAGGAATTTGATCAAAGATCCTTGTAACAAAATTGAAATAATACTCCATCGACTTGTCAACAAACACTTTTCCGAAGGTTTTAAGCACAGACCTCCAATTATCATTCATATAAGAAACCACTAAAGCACCTGGAAGAAAGAAACAAATCTTTTAAAGTTTAGTTAAAAATATTTTTCATTTTAATAACTGTCTATCATTCATAAGGAATAAATATTATGAAAATAACTTTAAAAGCTGTTAAAGAGACGAATAATTACTATGTAAGATAGGCAGTTAGACAAGACTCGAAAAAATATCAACTATATATGCAAGCAAAGATAAAATATTATTCTACTTTTAAAACAGTACTTTCAGAAAAATTATATCAAAAAATTAATAGCAATCAATATTAAAAACTATTTTGCCTTCTTGAATTTCGCTTGTTACTGTATATGGGGAAAATAGTTTAAATTTAACATAATTTAATTTATGTTAAGCAGTAAAAAACTAAAAGTAACTATCAATTTATATAAGGTTAGTATAAACTGTATACTTACTAATGTCTTCGTTGCCAATGATAATCTTTTCGGCAGCAAATAACGCATTCCCTATGTCATAAGTGTACTTAACGTCTTTGAAATCGAACTTGAGGTATGTTTCACCATCGTCTTTTTTAATGACGTGTAACGGAAAGTCGACGTTTAATGTCACTTTTTCTGCAAATCAAATAACAAAGGTCAAGTGTTTAGTAAATAACTGATAACTATTGAGGTAAATTATTTGTTTATTTTTGTCTGGTAATGGTAACTAAATAGAATAGACTCCGCAATTTAAAAAATATGTTCTACATACATTATAGACCATTTGGAATTAACATTATTTTGGATATATGTAATATAACCGCAAACCAACATACCATTCCTACAGCCTTTGAATTAAATACAATTTTGAAACAAAATGTCTCGTAGCAGAAACAAAAATTTAATTATAAACGCCTCACAATTAATAAAACCGTTACCGTAGCAATGAAAATAAAACGAACTTTTAGGTATATTTAATAAACTTCATATGTTCATAAATACAATTTAAAGTAAATTTATTTTCAGGTTAATTTAAACACGTGTATCGTGTTTTATAATTATGATACAGATATTAAACCTTAACCTGTCCATGCACATAAATATTACTTTGAGATAAAGTTTAATGAATAATAAAAATCACAATATCTTATAATTTATTTGACACTAGCTTATGCCGGCGGCTTTGCTCATTTGAGATACTTATATAATTCTATACCTTTTAAGATATCATGTATAATAAATATACTTCCAAATGTAATAACCAAAACGATAACCCATTTACAGACCCTCAATATGAGACAATTTTTTTATTAGTATTAATAACATTTTTTTTACCTAGCTTCACTTTAGCTTTTCCATCTCCACCGATCGAACTACTTCCAAAGAAACCTTGCAGCGTTGGGCTAGATCCTGCGAGTTTAAAATGACCCTTTATGGTAAGGTCACAAGTGACGGATTGGCTCCCAGCATGTTTCTCAAAATCAACACTTTAAAAAATGAAAATAATATGTAACTTAGAATACCACAACATTAGAAATTAAATATGAATAATATCGTTGGACTATTTGATAAAATCATAATATAAAGTGTTAAGAAAGGCCATTTCACTGAAATAATTTAAGTATCCGGTAAAGTTGACTTAATTTTGTTTTAAAGTACAAAAGATTAAAATAATAAGAACATTAAAAAATACTCACTGAAAGCTATTTATAGTACAGCCTTTTATTCCTTTAACAGTTCCATCGGTGATAGTTAGAGCTAAAGAATCTAATACCGTTAGGGATACATTTGAAAGCTGTAAAGGATCTACTGGTGGCACATCATACTCAGGTATACCAGTCTTAGCTACATCAATAATGGTTTTTTCCAATAATTTTTTTAGACATTCATCATCTTTATAATCACATTTAGGAAGTGTATCCACTGAAAAAAAATATTTTAGTGTTGTTTAAATGAAATGTTATAAAACATTAAAAATAACCATAAATATAAATAAATAAAATATTAAAATAATTTAAAATTTTAATTTACATAAAATAAACTTACCGAATGCAGCTCTGTATAAACCAAGTGTGTTCAGCAAGAACGCTATCTTTAAAAAGAACATTTTGTATACTTGCATCAAAACCAAATAATCGTTGATCTCCCCCGACACAGATATATATGCACGGCGCAAAATTATAGCAAAAAACTATACATAAAAAGCATAATACAACCGGTTTTTCATTATGACATATTGTTTTAAAAAATATCGCAAGTGCTATAAATAAGCCTTTAATAGTTGCAGGCTGCATTAATATTATATAATATTATGTATAATTTCATCAAAAACTTTATTCTCATTAAACAGGGAACATTGAATTTTTGATATTTCTGAAGTTAACAGGAAAATATCTGCTTTGATAAACATACTTGCCGTGATCGAGTCTATAGTCAATAACTAATACTCACATTAAATCATTCATCTATTAGACCTTTAATAAATCATCGACTTTATAAAATACTAACCCGTAAAAATATTCCACTGACTGTATTTACTTATCCTCTGCTATTTATTCCTTATTAAAAATACGTTAAGAGATTTTTTTCATTCTTTTTTCAAATCATTAACCAAAACATGATGCATCCTGAAGTGATTTCTCTATGTTAATTTCTGTTATAACTGCTTCTCTGTATTAAATTCTGTTATAAACATTATGGTACCAAGAAATCGAACTCAGATTTTTTGTAACCAAAAGGAATTAATGTTTTTTTACCCCTTGAGCATCTCAAACACAAAAGTTAAATAGCGGTCATCCTTAGGTTACAAGACACGATGCTTATAAATATTTAACATTTACGATACTATGTAATAGTAACGAAACTGTCTGTCCGTCTCTTTGCATTGTCCTGTAAGAACGTAATGTCTTGCAAAAAGAAAATGGAAATGAAGAGAGAATAAGAAAGTTACAAATTTTCACTCAATATTTAGTGCTTCATCTGATTTAAGAACGAATATGTCGCATCAAATCCCTACTATTATTAAATTATTATATATTTTTAATTCTTAAAGATCGCCAGAAAATTTGATATACTAGTTTAGTACTTTGTGTTTGTCTCTGTTCAGGTCTTATACGAGTATAAAAGAAATCTCCAAACAATACTCTAAGATATAACCACATGCAGATATTTAATATATGTTACCCCAATTTGGCGATTTTATCAAAATAAAACTATTTCTGATATAAATATATACAATTTTTCTGAAAAACTATATAATCACTAGATGTTTAGAACATAAAAATGGGCCTCACTTGAGTTATGATGACTTTACCTTTTGAGGATAGGATCTTTTGTTACTTTATGTGAAATCGCCATCCTTATAGTGTAAGAATTGTTAAAATTATGTGTGTATTTCTATATACATACATTTGTTGAGGATAAAATGCGATAGAGTTTAATAGGACAAGGAAAACAATTAACACCATAATAATTTAATAGCATAGTTACTTCTTTTTTATGCATTCAATGCAATTGAACTTACATCCTTTTTCTTAATTTAATTGCTGTTCTGTAATTAAAATGAAAATATAAATCTATTAAAAACTCTATAAGATTTTAAATCAATGGTTTTCCAAGAAAATCCAAATAAATATTTTTTCTACTTTTTAAAGCCATTTTAAATTGGTCTATTTTTAAATTCTTCGTCTTTAAATTAAAAATATTCAAAAACATACATATAAACACATTAATAGGTATATAAGATGTTGAAAACAACATAAATGTAACGTCTCTTGTTTACACAATGAAATAAATCAGTGCCGTTATAAGCAGAACTCCAAAGTCCGCTGTCTATTACTATATGTACATAATAATGTAAGTTTATTGGTTATTGACTAGATCATTTGGATTCATTTATATTGTATTTTTGTATTTATTGAGAGTTCTAACGGTAAATGTCTTTTTTTTGTCTTTTACTTGTTGTCGCTATTAATTATTTTATAGCGACCAAAATATGACATGAGGATTTGAATACATAAATTTCAATAATTAATTTAAAAAATCTACTTTATATTCAACAACATATAAATTAAATAAAAATCTATATGAATATGGTTAAAAATGTTTATAAAAAGACAATTAGACATGTAAAAGATAACATGTCTGCTTGGAAATTACTTCGCAAATCCCTTTGATGGAAATGATACTTAAGATTTACGAGAGAACGCATTTTAACTAACATTGAGGAGAACTACAGTTTTTATATACATATACCTACTACTACGCAGTCTGCTAAATTAAATTTAACCCGAATTTGCGGAAAATTTGTAGCATCCCTTATAATTGAGAAATGAGATAAAATTATCTGTCATTTATTTTTGTACTTTATCGTTAACTCGCTTACCCTTATGGTTGTAACTATTAAATATGTCACATAGAAACATTTTGATTAACTTCACTAAGCGCCTGCGTAATGTAAGAAACATGATCACAAAAGTGTGTTTTAACTAAGAATTAAATATAAGATTTCATTTAAATTTAATTACAACCATTTAACAAAATTAAGTCTTTGTCTCTAAATTTAAACAACTCCTACATTACTTGGAAAAAGTTATATTTTTGTATTATTATAAGGTTCATATTAAATAGACGTACAACTAAATATTATTGGAATTTTTTTATTATTAAAAAGTCTACTTTGATTCTTAAAATATAAAACTGCTATAAGTTTCTAACCAATTTTTTCAGCAACAAAAAGTAATTTCGCATAGAATAATATCAATGAACACTATGTTTGGTCACAAACAGCAAATCAATATGTGTCAGTAGGATTTATACGTACATATGTTCATTTTGCTATTACTTAACAAACTAGTTTTGTGATCGTGTGGAAATAGTGAATAGGGGAAAGTGGGGCGATTGCATTTATGATGGAGAAAAATCGAGGAAATTGTATAATTACATTACTTGTGAAATACCAAAATTTATAACTTATTTTAAATATAATCTCTCCTGAATGTCCCTTTTTTATAACAATTTATTTAAAGTTTTAAAATAAACGGCTTAAACATATCATGAGTTTTGCAATCATAAATGGATTAGTAAATGATATAATTACAAACCTATTCATTTAATAAATCCTTCATAATAATACAGATAGTGATTGATCCGGACAGATTAATAAGCTTTGGGATAATTAATCATATCAATAAAACACCTTTAAGTGTGTGTAAAATAAGTGATTTATAATAAATTTGTATATGTATCTTTGTGGTCCACTTATTTTTATAAATACATATCTATTGAATTAATATTACATTTTAGTTTTAGCCAACTGGTCTTCCAAGACATTGATATTTATGACACCTATTTCCTTCTCCCAAAATAATGTGCCATAATAGGTAACCCATAAAATAAATTTCAGTGATTCTGTCGTGAATAAACAACACAAACATTGATGGATAGTTTACTTTTCATGCATAAAATCAGGATGGATACCCTTATCCGTCCAATTCTTTCTATTTAAATAACAAATGATCACGCCACTGTCATGTCTTTTCCGAGTTTAGTTTTTTACTGATTGATTCTCTCTAACCAATAGACATTGGATGATACTACTGTGTGTACTACTTACTTATTGTAGAATATAGATGGTAACTCGGCTGTCACCCCTTAAATGAGGTTGTTTTTAAATAAAAGTTGTGATTCTCATTACAATTAATTACAAGTTACAACTATCAGCAAAAGGCCACTATTTCAATAAGTTTATTCAAAAAATATTTTTAATTATATTTCAAATAAAATTATAATTATGAAATACTCCTGATTATGTAATAATATCATTAAAACTATTAGAGACATATTTTCTAGAAAATTCCTAGAGGCGATACCCACGTCGCTAGTAATTGGAGACTGCAATTAGTTTGGCTAAGTGAGGCCGTGACCTCATGACCTAATCTAAGATATTAGAGGTTTTTATAGGTATTCACCTTCTGTTTGTATACTTTTTATAGAAAATGCATTTTCATTTTTTATAAGTAAATATTAATTATTTAGCTATAAGAAATACGTATTTCTTGTTTAAACATATGGTTCTCAATTTTATATTCAACATATTTGTTAATAATTTATAACAATCTCTTATACTTTTCATAATATCATACAACCATTGAGCTTCACAAACCTTGACCTTCTTAAATTAATAGACCATATTAAAAAAAAATCTTTTTCAAGTTGACTCAAGTCAAAAAAAATATTAATATTGTTATCAGTAAATATAAAAAAAAATTGTTGAGGGTGTATCTGAATATCAGTTTCAAGATACTGTGTTGTCACACAAAAAATACTTAAGACTCGCGTCATAGTTCTTGATGTGAAAGAGGATTTTTAGTAAAGCAGCAACACTTGAAAACCGCTATGTCAGCATCTTCATAGTGTTCTCTAGCTGACAGCGCTTTACAAGCGGCCTTGACCGTTGAAGGCTTGTCCTCATAAATAAAAGTTATTGATATTATCGACTTTACAACCTTTTCTTTTTTGTAATACATTTATGTTAAGTTTACACTTAAAGCAATTGATACTTAAATTTTTAACAAAGTTGAATGTTCATTGACATTAAAATATTTTTACTGTTTTAAAAATTATACGCAATCACTTTCGGTTTTAATATTTCTTTACACATATATATACTTATATATATACTTGTATAGTATATATATATATAGGTATTGTTAGGAACTATATATAATCGTTAACGCCAATTCAGTGCGCTAGTAGTAAAAGTCTATTTAAATCGGGCACGAAGAGACATACCTATTTTGTGTAACAAACTAAGACGGTGGAGTCGGACTTGTTTCAAATGCACGCAGTCTAACGCATAGCGTGCACAGCTAGTTTATACAACGGATTAATAGGCAGTGGTGCGTGAAAAGCAGGCTTCATGTTGGCAAAGAGCTATCCGAATTTATGCAACTTAAAATGAGAAAGAACCCGCTTCAATTTACATAAGAAGTACAAACGGTAACGAAGGTCACCGTCAGTGTGACCGCCGGTGTGTAGTCGGCCAGAGCATTTTGTGGTTCAGGATTTGGATAATCGAATTGTGTTTTTGCGAAATGTGTGAAGGACAACTTTTAGTTTTCACCTGTCTGACGGTAGCAGTGGCCTTCGTTGGTTATACCTCAGCCAGGTTGGCACGTAAGTTTCGCAGTTTCTAATTGTAAATTGAATATCAATGAAATATTTAAAGCTTTAAAATAACTGAAATATTTTTATTTATTGTAATAAAGTAAAAATAAGCATTGCAAGAGAAAATTCTATTTATGACCCACGCAGATTATAATGTGAAATAAATTATGTTAATATATTAAACACATAAACGAAACAAAAATGCATTTATATCCTTCAGATCCCATTCTAATTTCATTTTTAAGTTGAATGTGTCGTATTTTTCTATTGATTTTAATTTATATTCTTGTTGGTGTATTAGATCATACATAAATCAAGTTATATGCTTTATATTTGGTTAATTTTTATTTAATCCATTAGATTACTTCTCTTTACCAAAAAGTCTTTGTATAGTTGTTTTGTATTTTTTAAAATATCGTAGATTTTTATTCATGTTTAAGCCCTAACGAAATGGAATATTTTTAAAGAATTCAAAGGATAAAATATTTAAATATAATAAATGATTGATGCGAGGAAAATATTACTCGACAACATATTTACTTAATTTCTCTTCACCATATGTTTTTCTCTTTTTTTAGTTAGAATTCAATAATAAAATAAAATCTACATTTCAATTTAATTTTTTCTTTATATTTTATTATTCATCTTTTATTATAATTTATCAATCGAAAAATATTTTGGTGTAAAGTACTCTATTTTTTTGTCACTAACTTTAAAAGTCGTACTTGTTGCTACTAGGTTATACACTACTAACATTATTTATCGAAATTTTTTAAAATGCTTCCCTTGGCAATGAGGTATGTATAATTAAAAAAAACTATATTTTGATAAAATATGTTGCCCGTTATATTATATTCCGACTTAAATTTTAATCACGCCTCTGAAAGACAACAATGCTAAAACATTTAAGGAGACTTATTTTTTGACTTTTCCGAATTGTAAAAACTTTTTTCATAAATATGAAAAATAAGGAACCTTTTAGAAATATAATTACTTATACAACAAATAAAGTATAATTATTGAAGTATATTAATAATATTATTATTAAAACAACCCAGTACCTACAAAGTTTATAAATGCTGTTATAATAACAATGATAAATGAACATTAATCATCCATAATGCACTTCATGTATGTTTTTGTTTAAACAATTGTAATTAAATTTCCATTAAATATCGTGGATTAATATTATCAAAAGCGTAATAAGCCATTATGATATTATCAGAATAAATAATTTGTGGGCTAAACCAATGTAATACAGAACAAGTTAATGCTTTTAATATTTTTAATCAACAAAATAAACTTGGTACAAAAAATGTCTTACACTTTTTAAAGATAAAGTGATCTTTTATTTACTAAGTTAATGTATATAGGAAAGAATAGAAAATACTATAATAATAAAATGTTTGTCTCGCTAAGATTGATATCTATTATTGTATTTTAAAATATATTAGGCAATAGAAACATCTTCAGTAAAGAATAAAATATTAATAATATTATAATATAAAAGTATAAAATAATTTCAAATGATTCAAGAGTTAAAATCTCGATAGCTTTTGAGGTTACACGTTGATGACAAAGTCAACCGCGAAATGCTGCACGTAATATTTTGTCATATTTGTCCTTGACACAAACTGAGATCTACATGACATACAAACATACACAAATGAATGCGGTCAAATATGTGTAACAACCTTTTGAGCATTATATGAATAAACATATATCAATTGGAGCCTTTCCAGTTCCTGTAGGAAGAAAATGTTGTTTAGACGCTATTTTTGTAAAGAATTATTTTTACTTGAAATACTTAGCTGATTTTTAATCCAACCCCTTTTTCTAAATAATTAAAATGATTATAATAAATCCGGTTCTTTAAAATTTAGGCCCTACTAGGACATAACATTATTATTCTACCGAGACAGGACATAACATTCTTCTTCTGCCTTCTTCTTCGTAAATGTTAATTCAGGTTTCAATTTGAGTTTATTGATGTGTCATACTGAAACCTTGTATCTAAGAAAGTATTCATAATTTATAGTTATGATGTTATTTCGATTGTATGCTTCACAAAACGAAAATAAACTATCAATTACTATAATGTAATATATATTCCTAATTTTGATTCAAATAATAACAAACAATTTTAACTTTGACTTCATATGATGATATTCATAATTTCTTAAATACCATCGTATAACTGTATATAAAATAATATTTCCATATTAACCTGGACTTCAAAAATTTTATCAATAACTTGTTTATCTATAATTTTCTATTGTCTTAAAGTTGATTGATTTGGTTTTGAATTGAACAAGAACATACGAGTATGTAAATACCGGTCCAAAGAGGTAGTTTATAGAAGTAAAAAATATCCGCCAATTGCATATCGAAAACTATCATACGAAATTCAGAATTCAATTACACTCCTGCCATGTATATCTATGGATTCAGAAGGAAAAGATTTTTTTTTTTTATTAAAGGCAGCCATTTCCAAACAAAAAATTTGGTACTTCTATTTTTAAAAAGTCTATTTTAATAATATTCTAAATATGTAAATTGCTAATTTCATATACTCGAATCCCCCAATTCGGAACATTTGGTGTAAGCTTTCAACCCCGTATAACTCGTTAATAACTTTTCTAATTAAACACAATCAATGTTCCTCATGCATGAGTGTTCTTGTATACGTTTACATTCTAATCTTTGATAGAAAATTTGTTATGCTCATTATTATATTGAACATATAATAAAATTCATACATTTTAGTTTGTTGTTAGAGTAAAATACATATATATATATATATATATATATATTATATACTGGCTTAGGCCACGAACTTCGTACCGCCCTATAATCAAGAGATATCTGCTACATTATTATCTGAATGAAGTTAATTTCTTTCTTAAGTATAACTGGCCCGACAGACAAGGTTCTGTCTTCTTAAGTGTGATTATTGAATTGATTATTATTTAATTGGTATATTAACAAATCAAATTATTCCAAAAACAAAGTTTTTATTATTCTAATGCTTCATTCTAACTACTTGAATATTACTGCGAGTGACACATTTAAAAAAAATTTTAATATTCTAGTAATTTTTTCATCTTGTAATTTTCTTAATTTATTCTTACATAAGAACCTCCTCCTAATAATAACAGATACAACAACAAAAAAAGAGTGAAATCGGTCCGGCCGTATTATTTATATAGATATATTATTTATATTAATAATTATACCATCATGCTAAACGTTATTTTGATTAGTTAACTGAAATGTACTAGAATACAAAGATATAAAGATAAAATTTTCAAAGAACTAAAAAACACCATCATTATTTGTTAACTTAAAATAAGACAAACATTATGTATTACGTAAATATAAAGATTGAATCCTTCATTTGTAACTGTATTTTTTAAGAGTACTGAAACGTTAAAACGTTTTGAGAAATACTTAATTGTTTTATTGTTATATAATAAACATTAAACAGGATCTGTATTATTAATTTAAGTTTAAATGTTTAATTAACACTGTCCGTGTTGAGCTTTCATCAAATTAAACATCTTATTTTACGCAATACTAAAATCAACCCGGTCTTTTATAAATAAAATAACCAAAAAATTCAAATAATGAAAACTTATAAAGAGTCTTTAAGTTACTAATAATGTTCTTTTATAGTATTTGTGAATTGATGGTTAAGTAATTCCTTAACATTAAACATTAAGTTTGATTAATAATATTATAATAGTTACAAATAATATATTCATAAAATGCAAACCATTGCGGTCAAAAGGCTTATCTAGGTTACTAAATGAACGCATTATAAGTGATATTTCAATACACGCAATATAAACCTCACAACACAAGTACATAAGTTTTTCATTTAAAAATATTTATGAAGGGAAATTAATTAATATACATGCTATTGTATAAAATAAATACCTATTAGAGTTCGTTATGTTTTTGTATGACTTAGTCGCATTTAAACAATATTCTAAAGGTGTAGCTTGCTCGATTTTATTCTTTACAGCAAGTTTTAAGTAATACCATGTTATTCAATACTAGAACCAATATATTCTATGTTTACCCATTCTTCAATTTATATGTAAAAAACGAGCTCTTGCAAGTTACCAAATCTATTTTAAACGAACGTTCTTTGAACGTCAAACTTGTATTGGAATATATGTATGTAATAGTAATTGCACCAGTATTATCAGAATCAGGTATATACCACTTTTTTATTAATAGATCAATAGGTAAAGACAGGAAACAAGAAATGTATACAATTCTGACTATACACAATTCTGATGACTAATAGAAACCAACATTTTTCACTTTTTCGCAAGGCAATCGCCCTAATAGATCGCGTGCATCACTAAATTATTGCAAAACAGTGGAGCGATGTTTAAACATTACTATATCAAGTCACAGCTTTATGTATTGTGTATAATTATATTTATTTTAATACAAACACGAACACAACTTATCTGTTATGATTAATCTGCATTGCATCATGCCAGAGTTGCAATGATTTCGAATATTGTCTATGGTATATAATCTAGTATTTTCAGTGTTCCTTTCTAACCAAATAATAAATAAACAATATATGTAAGTTTATTGAACTGTAATAGCATATGACATGTAATATTTTATAGGTATCTTATCGAAAGGAATGAGGATTTTTAGAGAAATTAATTTTTAAAACAAACTTTGTATTCAAATGTGGCTAATTATAAAGAGTAAAGCTTCCTTATAATTTGTAAGCCACCACTAGATATAGATATCTTTTTTTGGAGATATAGGTCCTTTAATGAGAAAGTAGATGTTAATCTAGTTTTATTTCAAATATATCTGAATTAAAAGCGAAATATTACTTTAATTATCCTATTTCAATCGAATGAAATACAAAAACATTACCTGCTGTACGGTGATAACCACATTGTTAGCCAGTAGGGTTTAATCCATATCTGTTCTATAGTCCGTATCAGTTTAAGGCAACCCAAAACCTCTATGTACTCCTACGAAATAGTAATTAACTACTGGGAAGACGTAAATACCATCGCGATAGGATAAAATAATTCCACTAAAATATAAATTTAAACAAGATTTGCTCTAATTTAGCCATGTTCTAAACAAAATGTTACTTAAATTGAACAGTCAATTGCGTTAACAAGAACTTGTGAATGACTGTCGTCTGTCGAAATATTTTGTTCAATTGAGTCATTTAATTACTCTTTGTAACATCTCTAGTATAAAATTTAGTAAGCATTAATTGAGCAGATTATAAAAACTTCAAAATATAAATTGAAGAATATTGTAATTAACAAATATTTCATAATCTAGTTGGTTAAATGAGAAGACCATACTTTACATGTTTATATTTCTATAATAATTTTTTGTCATATAATATGTAAGTCTGTTTTAATACAATTTTGCCTATAGAAGTTTTTAAAATACTTCTGTACTTTTAGTTCAAAATCATAAGACTGTTTTTTTTGTTTACATTAATGTCAAACCAAAAAGGAAATAAAAGAAATTCGAGTAAAGATGTTCTAAATATATATTTGACTTAATTTTCAATATTCCTGAGATTCTTTTAATTTTTCGCTTGTAATTTTTTTCATACACGTTTTATGTAATTAAAACCTCAATAAATCAAATTTTCTGAACAGCTTTTCTTTTTTGTAACACAAAACTAATAAATACAAATAAAAATGTTACCTTACTATATGTACATATTAAATTTATTTTTAATATTTCGGTTACAGCTGATTTCATTAATCCCTGCAATACTACGGAGTCCGCATGTTTAATTCAAGCTACCCAAAACGCCATTCCTGACTTCTCAAAAGGACTGCCTGACCTCGGTGTTCCATCGTTAGATCCATTTGTAATAGACGAATTACCAATCCAACTTCCTGGAGTCAAAGTAACCTTTCTTGACGGTAAGGTTACAGGTCTACGGAAGTGTCAAGTGCTAAATGTGGAGTAAGTTATACTATAGTTTTCCTTTTAGATGTTTACATAATTTTGACAAATAAATTTTGAATGTCACAAAAGATGGCTAACGCGATCACGTATTCTTTACCTTGTTTGATGTGTTATCTGGGTTAGCTTACTTTATTGTTTAACATCCTCTGTGGTTGAAATTAAGCCTTTATTTTCATGGACTCAAACATCACATTTAGTTTTAAAAGTAATATTTCTTACAACGTTCTCACAAACTTTATTGTAACATTCCAGACTTAATTTATGAGACCTCTGTTTAAATGTCATCGTCATGCTTAGTAATAATAATGTGTATTATAGTTTTATTTTGTGTTATATATGAACACGTAGGAGGAAATAGTCGCTGCTTGAAATTTTTGGCTGAGCATTGTCAGTTGATTTTGTCTTAATAAATAAACTACTGTTTTTGTTCATTGATAAAGAAGATTTATGTGTCCGAATATACGTAAATAATATAAAATTGAAGAACAATAGTTGCTATATAAAGTCATTTAACAATCTTTTAAGTACCAATTAAAAAGTTAAAAGTTCTTAAGTATTAACATATATTTTAACCATTTATAGGGGTAGGTGCTTTAACAGCATTTTACTATCTAACCATTAATTTTACAAATGGCTGTAAATGTTCATTATATGTCTGAGAAATAATTCTTTTTTAAATTGTATGTGTATTTGTAATTGTAATTTATATTGATTATGGTTACGGATATAGGATAATTTTTTTAAATTAAATTTTTCAGAGCCTACCTTGAAAAAAATGTATTTATATTGGAAATAAAATGTAATATTACAATAAAAGGGAAATATACAGCGGTCGGCAGATTACTTCTATTTCCTATAAATGGAGAAGGTGATTCTAAAATTAAAATAGGTATGTAACTTTTTCAGTTTTTTTTTTTCAAAGACAGCAAATTATTTGTAGTACCTAGTAAAATGGGTATTAGAAGTTGTTAATATCTGTTAAAAAGAAATCATAGATGGAAGATAATTATAAGAGTTTCTTCTTATAATAACTCTGCTCTTGGATCATTCCTTTTGACATTAGGTCATAGTAGATTTATTTCTACTTAGGCCTCACACCCTGGGGGTGGAGTGGGACTCTGTGTCACTGACACACCTATCTTACAATTACTATTCTTAAAATAGGGAATATGCATGATTTTTTATATTTTTTAATCAATTCTATGAGTAGTTCTATAACTGAAAGAATATATAACACTTGCAGAATTACGAGTATATTACATAACCCCGAAATAAATAAGTTTAAATAGAATAATTTTCTGATGATTTAAAAGCTATCAATTACTAGCAAACTGACAATTTGTCCAAGTGTTTTTTTTTGCAAAATTTCATAGGTTAGTTATCTATATTTCAAGAGGGCTCCTGTAACTTTTACAAACTGAAGGAAATCTGAAAATATGGTCTGGTAAAGTATTACAAGACGTTGGTAATGACACATATCTTTTGATTTCCAGAAGTTTAAGCTTATACCTACTCTAGATAACTTAGACATTTTTCAATAAAATTCCATATTGGAAGATGGTAGATTCTCGATAAAGAAATGAAGCCTGGCTATGATAGCAGTAGAATACTTACAGCATAAAATATAATACCTACAATAAAAGGAATTCTTACATAACATAAATAAAATTAATTTTAGCATGCACTCTTTATCCATTCTCTTGCAAGCTCCTTTATTTAATTTAATACCTATTTTATCATTCTTACATTTAAAATTTTCTAGTAGAGTAGGTCTGAGAATCGGCCAACATTAATTTTTCATACCCCCAAGTCATAAATTCACTCTTTTTTTGTTTTTATTTTTTTTATATTGTAGCATTAAAAAATACATACCACCCAAAATTTTCACTTTTTTATCACCAACCCCTACTTTTTTATGGGGCAAAACAACGTTTGCCGGGTCAGCTACTTTACTATATTATAATATAAGTATTGTCAAGTTAAATTTAAACGTTTTTTATTTTCTAAACATTTTCATGTTGACTTTTGTGACGGACTGTGAAAGTTATTAGTTATTACTATTAAATGATTAAATTTAATAATAAAACATGATTATTTGTGAAAGTATTTATATGAGTGTATTTCTTTAGCAATTAAGATTACATATAAATTTTTTGGTCGTTTTTAAAATCACCTGTACATTTCCTAACCCAGCCAACAACTGCCGACAGTATGCCAAACGCACGTTTATGGCATTACCCATACTCATCCTTAAATTTATAACGTGGAATGCGGTTATAACATTAAAAAAACATTAATGATACAATACATACATAGTAACAATAATTCTGCAACTATTTCTAAAACCATATATATATATATATAGGTTATTCGGAAAAAAAACATTTTTTATTACAAAATGTATAAGTAATTGTTCGTGTAGAAATTTAATGTTTAATTGTATTTTTCCTAATGTTTGTTACAGTTAACTCCGTCATAAAATTAAATATAAAGACAAAATATTTTAAAGATTCCGAAGGCCGGGATCATTTTGGAATTAAAAATTATAGATATACCTTTGATTACGGAGATAGAGTACATTATACTATCAACAACTTATTCAAAGGAAATCCGGAATTAAGTGAGTATTACAAGCAATCACAATGATAAAAATTTTAGAAAATATATATTTTTTATTGTATTTTGAAACAAAGAAGTATATTTAGAGACCTTAACATGACATATTTACGATTCACTTTACATGATTTTTTTAACTTTCGTACACTGTATAAAAATACGAGTATAAGAAAAACATTATTTTATTCTGAGAAAAAACATTTAATAAATTGATATCAAGATTTTTAGATCACAGTTTAATCTCTTACCTTACCTTAAAACCTTCAAAGTAAATAAAAAATATTAAGTATAGTTTGTTTATGCTATCACAAACTTAGTCTTAAGTTTCAGAGAGTAATTAAAGTTTGAGTGAGGTAAAATGATAACTTTGAGCTTATTAGTCTTACCTGCCTTATACTGTTGACTTATTTATATATAACATTTAAAAAATATTTTATTTTTCTTGTTAAATAGCAGAGTAGTATAATTATTGTTTTATTTTCAAATTTTGACATCTAAACTATTGTTTACCGTAAGGGTGGGTAAGACTGGACTGGCATATTGTATCATGACACCATAGGTGACACCGTGTCACTATTGAAAAATAATGAGAAAGTTTGTAACGATTCTTTTAAGAGTGGTGGAAAGTTTTAAGTTTAAAGTTTGACAAATAAGTTTATGTTAAGGGGGTGTTTTAAACAATAGAAAAAATACTGGTCATCAAAGACTATCTCTTTTTATTTAAAAAGAAATTACAGCACAGTTTTTTAGTCTACATTGTGTAGAATTTATATTGAACTGACTTTTAGGCTCTTAAAATTCTCGAACTAAAATGTGTATCCAGTTGAAAATGTCCCCAAAATTTTAAATGACATTTTCAAAGAGAATTTCAGTGAGGCTTCATATTATAAAAATATTGCTTTTAAAGAACCCCTAGATTTTTAGTTATAACAACTGTGAAAAATGACAGCTTACTTTGCCAGCCATAGTGTAAAGCCTTTTCATGTCAAAAAAGAATTTTTCTATCTCATGTATTTGTATATAAAAAATACTTATATACTTTATACTTACGTAAGTTGAATACGCTGTTAATGTTTTTTTTTTACATTCTTATATAATATTGCTTAGTTTTTCTTGTAAAAAAATTTAAAAAAATCGATTTCAAATAAATTTTATTAAGATTCATGTCTTTTCAAAATAGACAGTAAGAATTACACTTTGATTTATTAAAAACTTATATTTTCATATAATAATAATTTTTATTTATGTTTTATATAATCATATTCATAAAGATGATCTTCCAATTTAAACCCCCACACAAAATAAGTAAATGATATTTTTAACTACTTAAAAATTTCAGGTGAAACAGTACTACAATTCCTTAATGAAAACTGGAGAGTGGTGACTGAAGAATTTGGACAACCGGTTGTGGATTATGCAATGAACGTTACCATTGAAACTGCTAAAAAATTCTTTAACGCAGTACCTTATGATGAATTACTTTATGTACCTATACCAAAGTATTAATAATTATATAATTAGTATACGCTTGCTCTAGGCATCAAGCAAATTTTGATCAGTTCTAAAATGAACCTTAGGTACCAAGTTGCAGCCTTAGTCAGGTTAAAACAGAATTAAAAATACGGATGTTTATTATTTAATTTTGAACATAAAATCGGCATAATTCTAACAGTACATTTTTGTAAATTGATTAATTTATTTATTCAGATATATAACGTTGGTAACAATCAGAATCTTATATTTGAATATGTGCATATAATAAAGATTTTAGTAACATTATGTTATAATCATTACAAATCATTGTGTTATGTGGTTTTTCTCATTAAAACGTAAAGGGGATTGTTAGATAATATAACGGTGACAATTATCAATTAACACGTATACGATATCAACACAGTAGGTGTTTTGGATCCCGGGTTTGACTAAAATTATTTTGTTTAAATAAGTTATTGGTGTTTATCTAATTTAGATTAATAAATAGTACTTAGTTCAAGAAAAGAAAAGTAACTAACTGTAGAGTATTATAAACATATTATACGATTGTTTATGATTATGTATTTTGTTAATAAGACTAAGAGTATAAATATATTTTTAAAATTAACGAATTTAAATCTCAACTTTCACAATATATTTTAGAAAATAATTGATATACCAACGATGTAACACACTTGTAATAATATCTTACTATCTTTAATTGACTTCCAAATAATCTGGCGACTACTTTTATATTTTCACTTTTGTATGTATGTTCTCATGTAAGTGACTACGTCTTTCTGAGAATAAATTCTTTAAATCTACATATGTATGTACTACATAAAACAAAGTATAGAATTTTTCTTTTAAACCTATATTTTATTTTTTTAATTATAATAACCATTTTATAACAATTATAAAATATAATTTACCTATTACAGCACACTAAAAAATATTACAATAGAAATATGTTAAGGATTTATTTTTATTTTTCAGTATTCTACCTTTTAGTCTCATTGAACAGCACTATATAAGAAACTATATCATTTTGTTAACCTCATTACAGATAAAAAAAATTGCGGCAACTCTTCTCAAAGCTATTAAGTTTCTCAATACATGTAGGCGTCACCGAACTTTGTACGGTTTCCTTTTTTTTATTCACAAGCTTTTCCTTTTAAAACTGAAATAAAAACTAAAATTTTATATGACAACACAAGAAAGAAATTTAAATACAAATATTTGTACTTACATTGAAATGTGCTTTATTCACACTTTTTTAAATCCAGTATCTCTCTATTTTATAGGATACATTTTAAAGATTGTGTGCTGAAATTTGAAGATTTTAATTCTTTCATCACGTTTTCTAAATGCGATGACCAGGTGCACTATGTGTCCCATTACTCACGTTGTACCTTTCTCGTATCTAAACGAAGGAACATGCTACATCTCATGCGTACAGCAAATTTTTCAAACAGCTAGCCTGCGTCTATTACCGTCGTCTTGAAATTTGGGGGTCTTCAATACAAGTGAGTACTACGAGTGGGTAGACTATTACTGGGATAGTGCATTGTGACTGAAGACCACTTCATTTCCACTAATCATTCGACGGTATTGTGGTGAAATAAAAAATTGGCATAAAAAATAAAAATTGATATCTATAAAAAAAGAAGTTATTCTACACTTTCTGAATTTTTAATAAAACAAAGGTAAAAAGGTGCCACGAATTTTCCATATTGTAACTTCGTAACTACTTGTCCTTTCATATTCTTTCACTAAATTCACAATCTTCTTTTGAATCAGCTTTAGAGTACGTTTTTAGTGGTCCAAATAGATGTCATTCATTCGAAACTTTTGAGAAGTGTTCCGTGGTGTTCTGACACGTTAGCTATTTTTCTAATTTAAATTCCCTTTTTATCAAACTTTCTCCTTCCTATGACCACCTAATACTAAAAGGAGACCGGAACATCTGCCAGGTCAAAATGCTACTAACATTATTCTAATTTCGGGGTCTCCTCGATTCGATATAAGTCTGTCTCAACTTGAAAATTCTTTGAGGCTTAGTAACAAACTAAGACCAGCTTTTCCTAACTTATAGTTTAATGACCGTAAAAATATTTTTAACGGTATTTTACGTAACATTATCATTGTAGATTTTGTTAGATAAGATTAGTTATGTATTTAAAAAAAATTGGTTTCTTGTAAAGTAGGTTTACGATCGAGATGTTTACGTGATAACGTCTTATTGGTGATATAATTTTTTGGGAAGTAAGGAATTAATGAAGATAACAATTTTTTCAAATTTTAAATAACATCTATCGTTTTCAACGAAAACTTAACCGCACGAGAAAATTTCCATTCGTTTGTATGCCGCTAGAGTGAGAGAGACGGAAGATCGGTCCACTCACTCGAACGCTATGCCTGCCTCCACTCGTGAGGATTCCGCATGACAAGTTTCACGGAATGACTGGCAGCGCTCGAGATGAGTCGGGAGATCGGTCCGTCTCTCTCACGTTATACCTGCGATCGCGCTCGTGAGGTTTTGGTGTGATACAAGTTTCTGAACATGTCACCCGACTAAAACGATTTTAAAGACGTTATCACGTCAAAAAAATATATTTTTGTAGAATATAGTATTAGAACTTGCTCTGAAATTTCAAATGAATGAAAGACATTTCGACATTTTCAACATTCAAGCTTATTCAAAAAATGTAATACAGTTGCGTTAATCCTTGCTCAGTATTCCTCGATCGAAACTTTATTTTAATTTAAAAAAAAATATGATAATGTGTTTAATTAGACTTCCATAACTGCAGTTCTTTTATTGTTTTTTCTTGCTCACAGAGTTTAATCGCATTCTTTTGAGCTTTTACATATATTTTTTATGTTTTGTAATTTAATTTAAGTTAAACTTATTGGATCTGTATTACATACATTTTATTGTCATTTTCATTTGCATGTTTATTTTCCTGCATAGAGATCTTAGTATATACTGGTTTTCAATTAATATAGCAGCATAAAAATAATAATTAATTAGCATACATTTAAGAGTGTCATGTAATTAATTAATTAATTTGACTGACTTTCTGTCAAATGCTGTAGGTATAGTTTAATTTCAATAATATCAATGACAAAGTAACAAAGTAAAATAAATATTAACTCTTAAAACTCTGATTTTTACGATGTCAATGTTTTATATACGAGTTAGACAATATCTTAAAAGCTTACATTAAACACTTCTCCAATCCTCTAGTAATCGTTTCTCATTTCGTAAGATGAATACTTCAATGAAACTGTCAAGCTCATCCATTCCACATGCAATGTTTTTTTACCCAAAGTAACTGATGATGGCCGGTAAGCTATGGAGAACATGTAATTTGGTTGATAATGAGATTTCGCTGTGCATTCTCTTAGATGTCTGGATTTTTTCTACACTTATAAAGTTGATTTAAATCTTAATTAGTTGAATATCGATAAATTATGATATCCGATCTGAACTCTTGGTAGAGTAACACAAGTTAGTAGTTATAAAAGGTCAAAAAATATATTGAGGATACTAGATTACATAGTAACAAAATAATGAAAAAAATAGTAATCAAGATTGAGGTATAAATTCTTTATAATATTTTTTCTATCATTCGTTACGTGCCATCAACCTATCATTCGCCTTGAAAATTCGATTGACTTATGATTGTTTTTTTTATCTCGTTTGTATCTTAAAAATTAATAAGATTTGAAGATTACTTGTTTATTCACTTTTATACTACATCGTATATTTAAAATTATGATGATGATTATAGTCTCTGATATCCAAGATTAAAGTTCAATAAATTTCTCGGAAAAAACTACAAACACATAGTTTTTACTCACTTAAATAAAAGTTTTGTTGATTTAACAGTTTATAACATGAACCAATAATACTTAAGAAATTTTAAAATACGAAAAAATAAATTGAATAAAAAATCAAGCAAAGAAACATAATTACCTAAAAACTACTCATTTAAAACGATTTTAAACAAAAAGTGCTAGACTTATGCTACATTATTCTTTGAGACTCAAATCTCAAAAAACAACAGGAAGAAGCAGTAAATATCTGTTTTGCAGAAAAACAGTTTTCGAAAAACTTATACCAAAAAGTTGATGGTAGAATATATTAAAGATATGAGACCTATTGTGCTTCTCCTTATCGTATCCATCTTTTTGAAAGAATTAGAAACTACTGAACGATTTCTTCTTTTACAATGTAGAATTTGATTGCCTTAAAAATGGATTTTGTAAACATCACATTATTGAATGAAGTCGATAGACTGCTTAATCGCTTAAATTTTAACTTTGTCTCCAATATAATCTCATTGAATTGTTGTTGTCAAAGATACAGCGATATTTTTTCTTATTCAATGATTCAGTATGTTGGGAGTCCATTTTGTCACCAATAAAATAACTGTCTAACCCAATAGAATTTAAGAGAAAATGCAAAAAATGGTTCTATATTCGACAACAATGAGAATCAAATTGATCAAGACTAAAATAATCATAAAATTCAAGGAATATGCTAATGTAATACATATTCTCTATTTAATATCTATCAGGAACTAACTATACAGGTCCTGCTTCTTTTAATTATTTTATATCAAAGATTTAAATCTGTTTGATTTGGAAATAATGGTTTAGTTCTTTTACACTTTACAGCATCCGTGATCACGGGCAGACGAGATGAATCTCGTCTCGTCCCGAAGCGAAATGTCAGCAATATGTAGATATTACACTAAAAAAACGCGTATATCTTCATATAAAGAAAGTATTTGTCATTTTGTAAAGGTTATTTTTTGCTCATGTTGGTTTAATGAAAAAACTATTTTTAATGTTTCTAATGTTTAGGATTATTTTGATTAATACATATATTTATTTTAATTATAGAAAAAACCTGATTTAACTTAACCACATTGGAAAATTTTCCACATTAACTACTTTACAAATTTCATCACGTCTTCCCATGAACTGGATGACTTTGAAGTAATTGAAACATAACGTTAAAGTAGATTACTTAGTTATTGGACCGTCCCTTTGCTCGCTTATGTGATGTAAAGAATGTCAATATATATTATTATGAATACTTATCTGGGTCATGTCAAATCCGTCACAGAAAATAATGTCATAAAACAAAACCTATGATATCAGAAACAATTTATATAATTAAGTGTCCATTCGTTAATTGACAAAATTATTTAATAAGTCAGTGGTGGCCTAGTAGTTAAAGGGCCCGCATCTTGTTGCCGAGAAAGCAGGTTCGATCCTAGCCCGGGCAATACCAATGTAATTTTTCCGAGTCATATATACTTTCTAAGAGTATTTAGTACATCACTGATTAATGCATTCCCAAAGAGGGTTGGTGTCAGGCAGGCGGCTGGTTATAAAAAACAGTTAGCCAAAACTATTTACAATATGTGGGATGTGGGATCAGGGCAGGAAAAAAAATAAATAACTTTTTAAACTTCAAACGCCTTTAATATTAGTTAATAAACAAAACATGCTTTACGCTTTTAATAAACGAAAATGGCTTCAATAACTACAAATTTGTCTAGCATAGAAAAAAAATGTGCCCCAGACCTTAGACCTTTATGCTGTTTAGATAACCTATAGGATACTGATTTTAACACTTCAATAATAAAGATTTAAAACTTTTGATTATTTGTCATTTCATAGAAGAAAATACAATTGGTTGATCTAACTACTATGATTTTTTTTGTATCGTCTTATTATAAAAAAGATGTGTACCTACACTGTACACTATGTTACTATACATATTGTGTACTATAAAGAGATAGTGTCACGTTTTAATTATAACAATTACGTTTTAATTTGATCTACTTAATTTACACTGTTCGTTGAAAATAAAGTGATGGTTATAAAAAATCATTGTCTGTGATGTGAGGCCTATGTTTTCATTCTGTGGCAACTCGCTTACCTAGATTTTTAGTACATATTCCCATTTATAAAGTTCACAATTGTATATTATAAAATCTTACAATTTTAAAGTTGACCATATTAAATATTTATCTTATATTAATATGTATATGTATTTTAATTTAATATATATATTTTTTGCTTATTCGTGACTGGAAGCATTAAATTTACGACTCAGACACTTCTAACCATCTAGTAAGAAGTAAGAATGCTTAAAACCCGTAACAGGCATTTGAAGCTTTTCTTTTTATATTCCTTTCAATTTAAGCAATTTTAGGAAAGTTCTGGTAGACAATAGCTGTAGTCAAATTACTGCAGCTCAAACGTTGGCTGGCTCGACCGGAGACGTTACACTAAAGATCGGTGTGAAGTAGTCTTTAATGGCTGCGTTTCATCCGATGAATGAGAGAGCCGGTTGCTCTTTCCTTTTTCCTACCCTTTCCTGCCCTTTTCCCTTTCCCTTTTCCCTTTTACCAACCTTTCCTCTCCCTCTTGTCCAAATAAGGGTGGAAATGCATCTGCAAAACTGATTTGCAGATGTCTATGGGTGACGGTACTACCTCCATCATGTAGGCCGTCTGCTCCTTTGCCCTCTTTGTCATATAAAAAAAGAATAACTATAATTTTTATTACTATTCATAATTAACTAACAAAATCTATTGTTATTTTAGATGTGAAATATTAGACTAAAAACTAAATTTATGATAAGTCGAGAAAAGAAAATAAATTATACATTTTTACTTATTGTTGAAACAACAACAAATATATTATGAGACGAAACCTCTCAACAGTTCATAGATTCACCGTGCGGGCGCAGGGTCCTTCGCGTTACAGGGAGAGGAACTTCAATAGTGCCTGGGCCTTGCAACCCAGGTGTAGGTTTAAGGGGCCCCTATCTAACGCGAATTAAACGCTCACCTCCACTATCCAAGCTCCTCTCCCTTCCTAACCAAAATTTGAAAAGAACCTACTGGGGCTGCCTTCGAAGTGCGTTCCAAGAATGAATTAATGTGAGTTCTGGATAAACCCCACTTCTACTTCGTATAAATCCACAACGAACTTATTTCGTGTCAGCTCGTTAATGATTTCTTAATATTTGTTGACCTTGATGGTATAGTCTTTGGAGATGTTGGTTTCCCAAGGAACCGTAAGCTCTATCATCACGACGTGCTTTAAAATTCGCGAGTAATAATAATATAGTTCATATAATTCGCAAGTTTATGTACCTAATTTTTCAGACATTTAAATGTAATTTAAAAGAAAATAAAGTACATATTCGTTGTGTTTATTTTATCTCATCTCGATAATGATCTTGATGAAACACGTTAAAATCCTACTCCTTAATGGAATGTTAATAGTATCTTCTTTGTAATTCTTTAGTTTACATACTACGCAATACTATACACAGAACGTAAATTATTGGGATTTAAAACTCATAAATCTTAAAATTTTGATAAATTGTCTAAAAAGTAAAAAAGTTTAAATATTTTACCAACTGTGATATTTCATAACAATTTTATATTTTAACAATAAAGCCTAAAAAAGTATAAGTATATCTAAGAGTAATAACTTTCTGCTATAGTTTATAATCAGGCGCTTCATATTTCTATATATTGTACAATTAATCACCAGTTTTAAATCTACTGACTACATATTATTATTGTATATTTTATTTATTCAAATTTGCTGTGTCACTTCCAACCTTGCACTCGAACCTTTGTACACGTTTATATTAATTAAAGCAATATCAAGATATTTGGGTTTAATTTCAACGAAAATTAGGCTCCATAGTGTTCACTTGCAAACATAAATTGACGACCGTGACAGGACTAATATACAAAATCAAAACGAAGAAACATACAACACGAAAAATTGCAAATCATCGTCGTCGATCGTCATCATTGATCGATTGATCTCGAAGAACAGTTGTCGGACGAAGAATAAAAATCGTCGGCCGAAGGCAGTGATCCAGCTAAAGCGTCCCCCTCGCAGCTCAGCACGGTGTATCCCTGTAAGTTAAGTGAACTTTCCTTTGTTCTTTGTTCATAATCCCCTTCCTAAATATCCTATCCATAAATCTTACATATCCTTCACAATTTTTCCTTCAATAATCCAAATCTGTTGTAATAAAAAACCAAGTGTGTAATTACTTTAATTACATCCAGCTTTAAAATTTTTAAAATTTTTATATATTCGTTGTTTATTCATGAATAAAACATAATTTATTGAATTGCAAATTACAATCATAATTTAATTCTTCCTTCATTGCTATATTTTTGAAAACGATTATTATTAACGGTTAACGTAACGGTTTAATTTTTTTTATTGTTACTATTTTCTTTTCATTTTATAAATAATTTCACATCATAAACAAATAAAAATAATAAAAACATAAAAAATAATCGTAAACATTGCCTTATATCAACATTATTTCAAGTTGTTTTGCCGAACATTCCAGCGTGCTGGTGGTGCGATCCAAAGTCCATCGCGCCGCTCCTGCGTTGATCAGCTGTTGTTCGTGGATTCAACTAAAGCGAGGAGTGTGAGATATTTTCTTTTTCTTCCTTTATTTGTCCGCGGAAATTATTTATTTTTATATTGACTTTCTATTTAACCATTGTTGACCAACTTTGCCGTTAAAACTTTTTAACATTTTTTAATCATTTTATATTAGATTTGTTTTAATTTTGTTTAATTTTAGTTAACATTTAAAATGATTAGTGATGAGAAATATAGTGCAAATCCTAATAAGATTACCTTAAGAGAGCTGTTCACTAAGCGTAGTTCAAATAAGGGACAAATCACAAAGTTTAAAAATCATCTAGATAAAATCAGTCAACAATCTCGGTTGTCTGCAATCGAATTAGCTGAATTATCATTAAAACTAGGTAAATTCGAAGGTTTGTCAACAAGGTTCTACGAGTCGCAAAGTCAAATAGAGGTGATAATCAGTCAGGATCTTGATGAACGAGACGATATTGAACAGGACTTCATCGTGATTACCGTTAAGGCAAAAAATATTTTACAAAAATATGACAACATTAAAGATGAGGTTAGGCGTAAATCAGTATCTCAAGATGCTCAATTTGGTTTCGATCATCGCAACTCTGGCGTAAAATTGCCACAAATAGAAATTAAAAAATTTAACGGCACATATTTTCACTGGCTTGAATTTCACGAAACATATTTAAATTTAATTCAATAATCAGCATATATCAGACGTCTTAAACTTCATTATTTAACGTTTTATCTTGAAGGAGAGGCAGCCCACATTATATCAAATCTAGATGTTTCCTCATCAAATTACAAGGAAGCATGGGACTTGTTATGCTCGAGGTACAACAATAAACGGCTATGGATTAACCACCATCTAAAATCTTTACTTAACGTTCAACAGATCAGTCGTGACTCTGAGATTTCGTTACGATTTTTAGTAGATCACGTGACCAAGAATTTACGAGCTTTATCTAGTTTAGGGCAACCAACAAATCATTGGGATACTTTATTAATTTTCATATTATCTTCAAAATTAGATTCAACGACCTTTATGAAGTGGGAGGAGATGCGGAACACTTATAACCAATTTCCTACACTAGAACAATTTAATAAATTTTTAATTGATCGTGCGGATGTTCTTGAAGCTATAAGTCGCAATTGCAACTACAACAAAACATTGCAGAATACACAACTCCCTCCTCAACCAACAAATAATAATAAACAACCAAAACTTGAGCGAAGCTTGGTAAAAACTTTTCCTTCTACAGCTTCATATGGCTATTCTTGTGTAATCTGTGATAACAATCATCGCCGTATTTATGATTGTCCAATATTTAAATTAAAAAAATATACAGATAGATTGGCTGGAAGTAGAAAAATTAAAATTATGCCCTAATTGCTTAACTTCACTGACTCCAACAATATACGATAAAGAGTATATCATGTTAATTAATAATAATGAAGCCTTATCTAAATTTGTTAAAATATAATACTCAAAGTAAAATATAATGTTTGAAAATTTAATACTACTTTAAAAAAGACTTAAAAAGTGACTTTTTATCCCTTTCAAGGGATAAATTAGGACTGATAAATTAAAAAGATAACTAAATCCTCTTTATCGGAATGAAAGCGCTACCTATACATATTTATAATTATGTTTTTAGCAACAAAACTGGTTTGGTTTTCTTCACATTTTTGGAGATTATAAGTTAATATGTTACAAGTTAAAAAATATTGGTACAAAAACTTAATCAAGATTACGTTCGAGATTGTTTTAATACCGGTAAAAAACAAGACACGTGAGCAAAGACACTAGGCGATTCTTTACCTCTTCTTATGAAATGGCTTTTCTATATTACAATATATTTACTATAATATAGAAAAATCTTTATATTCCTTGTTATAGTAGATAAAAGATCTTGTTTAAATAAAATCAATTCAGGGCTCAACCCTCCTGTAATAAATTGATTTCCAATGTAAAAGAATATTAATAATAAAATATGATGCAAAACTATTTTTAACGTTAAATTTATTTCTATCAAATTAAAATATTAGCTATTTCTGTGTTGTTTAAATCCAAATCCAAATGATTATTGTCGAGGTTTCAAAAAAAACTCACTAATTGAACAGGTTGTTTTTTATTGGAATAACCATTTGATTTTTTTTCTTCCAACTAACCTTGGTTTCTATATGTATAATTTCATAAGCCATAATTGACTCTAATTTCTCAAAAATAAAAACCAGAGTAACTTGCAAAGAATAAAAAGTTTCATTTTGCTGTTGAGTGTTGACACCAATTTTTTTACATATAATATTTAAGTACGACGAAGACGACATTAGAAATACTAGTCTATCTAGACGGGGAGCAAAATTCAATAACAACGAAGCTGATTAGGTTATTTATATAAAAAATTAAAGTATAATCAGATAAATAACGTCGTCAACCTATCAGAGCCCACTGCTGAGCAAAGGCCTCTTCTCACATGGAGGAGGTTTGAACATTAATGACTGTTTGCTCAAGACGGGTTGGTGGTTTCAAACTTATAATATTTTCCTTCACCGTCTGTCAGTGGTACCTAAATACTTACAGTAAGTACATATGACTTGGAAATATCACATTGGTACTTGCCAGAATCGAACCTGCGCCCTCATGCATGAGTGGCGGGCCTTTAACCACTTAATAAATATATTTTTAGGAATTTAAGCTTACATTTAACATCGCTGGATCATGGACAACTTGGTTATTTAAAACCAATTTGGATAAAATTCTTACCAACACATAAAGAATATTCCAAAATATTTGCTACGCTTAAGATTAAATTTAGCTTTATACAACAATGTTAAATGTTCTTAAATGTTATTTCATTTGGTATATTTTTATAAATACATTTTTTATCAAAATTAGTTTTTTATTATTTTTAATTAAAATTGATCATACAATATTTTAATGATCTTGTACTTCCTATATACTAATTAAATTTGCTCTTGAATGAAATAATACGATGCTGTCATTTCCTCTCAGTGAATGAGTTAAAATAGCTTGCAAAAAATATTAAAACAATTATAAGTTATACTAATTACATTGCTATGATGAGTGTAATAACTGAAAGATTTTACTTGAATAAAAATGAAATATGTTATTATAAGAGTATTATAAAACATTTTCAAAATTCCAAATATTTTAATGAGTAAAAGCTTAATAAATTGATATTTCGGATCTTGAATCCGATTCAGCAGTATCAAGTCAACCTACTCAATCGATGCTGTATGCTTTATTTAGAACGAGTGTCCGATTTCAATAAATCATTAGTATTAATTTACATATGAAGTTTGTTTTAAAGCTTAACATAACAATCATTAAAAAAATCTAGAACATATATGCCTATAATAAAGTTGGTTATGTGTCTCCTAAAGCATTTACAATTTTTTGTGCATCATTTAATAAACAAATAAAATTAATGTAATCTGCGTTAATAAAGCGCTAACAATACGCTTCACGGGCAACCGGTTGGCTACAATGTCAGAACGAAGGTTTTAATAATGTCTATCATTTAGGCGATATATAGCAGTCGTTTACTGTACGGTGTGCAGAGGTGGATCCACTGTGAAGCTGTTAAATACGAAAACATGATTTTGAGAGCGTTTGGAATTTCACTGTTATTTGTGATTTTCTTGTGCGGTTGGGGACACGCTAAATTGGCCCGTAAGTATTTCATAAAACTAATATTATAAATAATTTTCTTTTGTAATACAATTTTTTTTATTTAAAAATAGGTGTGAAAATATTTTTATAAAATTTTGTTCATAAAAAAAGCAATAGATTAAAGACGTTGAATTAATATTATTAAATAAGTTCAATGTGTACACGATTAATATTTTTTTATTGAGAAGAAGATGCTCGTGATGTTATTATGTATACATTCTCTTATGAAGTTTAGCATAACCTTATTATATATTTTTAAATTTTTTAAATAATATTCTTCTAAATAAGTATTAAATAGTTTTATTTAATTTCATCAATAAAATTTTCTCCTGCATAATATCTTAATTCTTTATCACATCACAGATTTTAAACTCTTTTCTCCCAATAAATAATTTTTAAATTATAATTTAAAGCCCAAGATTTTTTTTTCACTATAATAACACTTATATTTGGAATAAATACATTCATAGAAATATTATACTATTACTTTTTATCAGAAACGTATTCTTCTTCGCTAAAAACTGCGTGCAACACTTCATTTAATAATGCAGAAAGAAATCATTTGAATAGAAGGCTATCTACATCGTTTGATTTAACATCATAAGGTTTATACTAAGTATTTACTGATACAGAATCATTACTTGAAGTACTATTATGATAAAAGTAAAATAATTTTTCATGAAAAATTTGCAATTTCTTTAATTTTTTGTGACAACTATGCAATACAACAAAAAAAACTTTTAGAGTGAAAATTATCGTTTTTTTTATATACGTATATCGTTCCCATATTTGTGTATTTACAAACAAACAGTTGCTTAATCATCTATATACCAAAATCTATAGCAGTAAAAGAAAATAACAATGATTTATTTATTAAGACGAAGTTATAGTTATAATTTTAGAACAATAATTTCTATAGCTTCTGATCCAGCCAAACCTTGTGTTATGATTTCTTAGGAAACTCACTCTTTATTTTTCTATATTTCATAAATATGGGGACTTCAATAATTATATAAAGGGATGATCATCTTTACATGTCCAATAAGTATGTATATAGTATACTTTCTTATTTTAAAGATTTATTTTTTAAATATTCTTCTAAACACTATAAGAATCTACTTGTGCTTGTCTTACAAATGTACTGAGTCACAACAACTTCACATAAAATTTCTTCGTACAAATATAGTGGAATTCAAAGTTTTAGTATACACAAGATAATTCAAAAATATTTAGTATTGCAATTTTTCTCCTGCTGATGACAAAGACGTAATAAAAATGATAACTGTTGACAAAGACGTAAAAAAATCTTTCTACTATTTATATGTTCACTATTCGGAAAGTTCTTTGAAGCAAAAAATCTATAAGTATCTGTTATACAATAATTGTTCACTGTCAAATACCAAGTGTAAAATATAAAACATAAAACTAAATCAAATAACAGTCCTTATACAATGATGATCATATTGAGCCACAAATAACTTTATTATATGGAAGCACATATATGCTATGATCTGAAAGTGCATGATTAAATACATGTTATTTAATAATTTATTTTCGTTGAAGTTACCATTGAATTCACAGAGTTTAGTTCACTAATATATGTATATTAGTTGACAAACTTAAAACAACACATATATTATTCTTATGAACCAAAAGAAACAAAAATTTTAAAATCGGTTGTGACAATGTAATGCATAAAAATTGTTTGTTTGTGATAGTTTGTAATATATGTAGTTGCAGTTATATATGTATTATATATAAGTATTACATAAATGTATCATTATATAATAAAATAATATAAATGGGATATAATAAAATCGCTATTAAAACATTAATATATTTAACAATTATATAATTAATAAATTATTTTGATATCTGAACTATTATTAATCATAGAATTTAATTTGTTTTCCAATTAAAACCGAAACATGAAGATAACACGCTGAGAAGACTGTATCTAGGTAAAATTTTATAGACATGGGTGATGGTGATTTTCAATTGAAACTTAAAAAAATAAAATATACAACTTTTCGTTCCTAAACTCTAAAATAAAGAAGAAATTGTGTCTGACTTCTGTCACTAAATACTTTGAATGTCAGGACTTTCGTGAACACAGGGAAAAAAACGCAGAAAAATAACATTCATATGTTCATTATATGGTAAAAAAGGTGTCTTTATTTCTTAGTAAAAACATATTAAATTCGAATGAAGTGAATTGAACTAAAAATCCCTCTCGATTTCTCCGGAGAACATTTATGTTTTCTTAAGATTGAAGTACACGTATATTTATATTACAATAATAACAATTAAATGAAAGTTTTACTTATCATTTATATAAAATGTACTAAATTAAACTTACATACATCCAATAACTCAATATAACTTAGGATTTGATATTACCCATTGTATCTACATCATTATTTCGTAACTAGCAGGGCATTCACAAAATTTTGCGCTTGAGCAGCAGGGGTCGAAGGAAGGTTCCATTATTCTTGAAGATCGCTCCTAACAGAAATACAATGCGGAAATCATCTTAGAATTGTTAACTTTACGAGACCTACTGTGTATTTGAACAATTATATATCAAATGACAATAGAACCAAAGTCACACCTTAATTTACCTAGAATGGAATTTATTTATTAACGGAATTTAATGACTATATAAAAATTTGGTTGCAAGTAAAGAGATATACATCTTATTTCTATTATTTATGTATATTTATGTTTCTATAAATATCTATCTATTTGTTAAAATTTATAGGTTTGTTATTTAAAAAAAAAACAAATGATTCGTAATAAATCTTTTTATTAAAATTTTAATATTATTAGTGTATTATGTACTTATAAATATTATGTAGATATAAATAAGAAATATTAGGATCATTATTTGAAATAATTGGAAATCGTGACTAATAACTCAACACTTTACGTTTTATTCATAGACACGAGAGTTGTAGGTTAAAGTGACATGGTCAATATCATAATTATGGCCATACATACCATCCTATATATATATATATATATATATATATATATATATATATATATATATATATGAAGACCTTCACAAGGCTCTGAGGTGTTACACATGCAATAAGACCATCTTTTCTCATTCAAACTTCAAGATAATTTAACAGTTTTCGCAACGTTTAGGAAATATTAAACTTCCCACCATGTTTAGTAGCTATAATAAACTTCCTTAATTTAGTAATAAAAACAGCATTTATACAAAATCTTCAAGGTAAATGGTATTTTAAATACACAAGTTTTCTTATTATTTGTATGTTTAAAGAATCTTTATTTTTGAGTAGTAATTAACAATTATTAAAAACAAATGCTTTATAACAATTTTTTTTTTTTCGCTTTTTCATTAGTATATCAAAAATTTTATTTATTTTTGAATGTTGAAATATTACAATTGAGGTGTCTGATAGTGCGGTATAAACTGGTATTGGTCTAAAATGGCATTGATTTTAGATCAGTAATAATTATAATTCTATGATTACAAAAGAGCTTGCTATGCTTGCTATGTATACGCTACTATAGTACACTAAACACGTACCATTGTAAGAAACCAGTTCTTCGCCTCAACGCTATTATTTAATTTAGCCTCTGACACTAAATTAATCTATAATTCTCAAGCAAATAATTATTTTACAAGCATTAGGGCCCACCAAGGTCTACTTGCAATTAACTTTTATTGCTTATTAAACGTATAATAGGTACTCCACTTTATTACATTAACAATTGAGTGTTTGATATTATAAAAAATAATTATATTATCAGACAATTGGAATACGTATTAATAAATATATTTTTTCTTTGTATTTGCCAATTATAGGATATTTTAATGCAGGTGGTAATGGAGTATAATATAGTCGTAAGGCACTATAACTTTTAACAACATATTATTCCTAAAAATGAGGAATAATATTATGTATAAAGTAGTGGCGAAATTGATAAAAATTATCAAAGAGAGATAAAAATTATTATAATAAGGAATTGAAGATAAGGAGTTAAAATTGATAGTTTTGACTATATTATCATTTACTGAACTGTTTAACGGTTTACATCTATTATTACATATTCTTCATGGAAAATTTATATGTACAGAAGTTTTAATTAAACCCAAATTAACCTCTTTAAAATTATTCCAATATTTGCAAATGAGTGTACTGAGTAATAGGGTAAAGTTTAAATTGAGAGTAAAATAGTTGTAGTACTTGAAATTAAAATTACATCATTTCTAAAAAATAAAAAAGAGACGACAATTGTCAAAAAAATGGGAACTATGTAATTAATAACAATTTAAATAAACAGCGCTGTTCAAAAATCAATAAAATTATGAATAATTTTATTTTAACATACATTTCTTATTTACCTTACAGCCGACTTTATACACCCGTGCAATGCCACAACCAGAGAATGTCTTATAAAATCTACCCAGGATGCTATACCAGAATTCGTCAAAGGCATCCCAAGTCTTAATTTAGAATCACTGGATCCATTTGTTATCGAGAAGCTGTCGATACCTCTCAACGGCCTGAAAGTCACGTTTTATAAAGGAAAAGTTACCGGCTTTAGAAACTGTATTGTAGATGATGTTGTGTGAGTATCTTTTAACATTATAATACTGCTTATATGTTATTTAAAGCTACCCATTTTAGATTTTTATTAAAATATTTTTGTTATTATTCAAATGATGTTAAAAATACTAAACACATTATTATTTGTTATGTTTTATAATAAAATAATAAGTAAATGAATAATTCACGTTTGTACATTTAAATATAATAAAAATAATTAATAAAAATTTAAACAACAAACAACATATAACGTTTACTTACATATCATTAACAAGGTCAAATCATAAAAACTCAACTGCAGTAACTTACAAGGCAAAAACTTTACGATCAATGTTAAAAAATGCGTACGATGTATTTTGTTAAACAAAATAATTTTATATAAGTTATCCAATTTAAAATAGACAATATTGAAACAAATACATGAATTAATACTTAAACGTTTTAGTACAAACGAGAAAATTAAAAATCCAATTTTGTTCTCATTTATCTTGAAATTCGTGTAGTTTATAATTTTTCGTTTCCATCTCCTTTAGATTTTTTTAAAGTGTTTTGTTTACTTTATAGAAACACAACTAATTAGCAGAGACTTGTTAAGTCACAGCAACGTAATAACGAGAAATTAACAAAAGCGTTAATTTAATACTCATTTTAATATGTTAGAAGTAATATAATACGTCATATTTTTTCTATTTCAATAATGAAAAATATTTTAGTTAATAAATAAATTTAACATCTTATAAAATAGTCGTTATTTGAAATATGTATATTTAATTTAAATAATATACCATATTATACAATGCTAAGCCGAAATATTCAGCCCTTATATATAAATTTAAGACCTTTTTAAAAGTCGCAAAGGATATGTCTCAAAACATTGAAATGTCATGACATTTAAATTCTGTTTTTGTTAATAATTATCTTTCATTATAGCCATATCCTTTTTAGTATCAACAAAATATTATTTGTTTCGGTACAAATTAATATAAATACAATTTTTGGCAGTTTTGACTTACTCATCGGGAGATTGGATTTTTATTATAATCTGATATAATAAAGATGCAATGGCTCTATTATTCACAGGTCAGAGTTAGAAAAACGACACTTCGTGTTAGAATTCCACTGCAACCTGACAATAAAGGGACAATATGACGCCGTAGGAAAAATTCTACTATTTCCAATTAACGGCGAAGGGGACGCCAAAGTAAAATTAGGTTTGTGATGCAAATGAGCAACTTTCTTTATTTTTACTTCATTTTATTTGTAAACAATGTAATACAAATAATATACCTTTTAAACATATTCTTTTCAGTAAATCTTCGAATGAAGGTCGATATTAACACAAAATATATTAAAGATGAAAACAACTTAAACCACTTTGCACTTAAAAATTACAAATACACATTCGACTACGGCGATCGAGTCTACTTTGATTTGAAAAATTTGTTCAAGGAAAGCAAAGAATTAAGTAAGTTTTATATATTATTAATCAATATTATGTGACACTGAAAATTTGATTCGTTAAGCCTTTCACATTATATATAATTTATGAAAGTATATAATTTGAAGAGAAAGTAAAATAAAGTAGAATATTTACAACAAATAAAAGAAGCAAACATCAACGGAATACACAAATAATTCTTATGTAATATCCTTGATAAATGCGAGGTTGTTGACATTCATTCTCATGAATATTTCAACTCGAAACGGGACCTTAGCCTATTCTGAATACATCTGGAACGTTTCGTAAGATTTCTTAGAAACGATGACATTGAAACGAGTATATATGTAGATGTGTACATGAATACATAAAGTTATGTTACTAGTCATGCAACAGTTACTTTATATAAATAAAGAGAAAATAAGATTATTGTAATTTGAGACACTCTTCGAAGATAATAAGCACAAAGAAAAGTTTTTCAATTGTCGTATACTTAAAATGTTTGACACTATTTTACTCTTATATTACTTTTACCCAAGAATCTAATATAATAACACGATTATTTCAGGTCAAACGGTACTTAATTTTTTGAATGAGAATTGGAAAACAGTTGCAGAAGAATTTGGTAAACCCATTGTTGACTACGCTGTCGATTTAGCAATAAGAACTATAGAGAAGTTCTTCCTCGCTGTTCCATACGAAGAGCTAATAAACGTTCCTATACCAAAATTTTAAAAGTATTGTTAAGTAATTTTTTTTATGCAAATATATCGTTCAAGAGGTGAGGTAGATTGTTGTACTTTATTCAATATGATTGCTTTAATTCGCTGAATTAATGAATTTACAAAGCAATAAATAATAACACCCCATAGACTAAGACAGTGGTTATAATTAAATACAAATTCTTGACCAATTATGTATATCGCGGCCAACAACTACATCATATAACTAGCCTCTTACCTCCGTATTCCTTTATTAGACAAAAGCTATTAGTCAAGTAGTCCAAACATAGACAAACATAATATGGTATTATAATAAAAGAAAATTAAATACATTTAAAACCTACTTTAATAACTAACTTGAGTATTATAATAAATAAAATAACAACTAGAAAAAATGTTAAATATGTGTCAAATTTAATATCGGAAGTCTCATTGTTAAAGAATAATAAGTAAATTAATTTTCCATCGCTTAGTTCACTTCGCAAATTTTTTCATCAAAATATGAAGTTTATCTCAGTCAAAAACCTCTTTTCAAATCATTAAGAGAGGACCTTTTATAATTATGAATGATTCGCCCATATGTAGAAAATTATAGATGTTTTCACTTTGTAATATAAGTAAAGACCAAAACAAAAATTCAAACATTTTTAAGAAATTTCTTCTGCTAAAAATACAATGAAACTGATAACAATAAAGAGGAAATTACTTTGTACTTTCCCTGCAAATTTGAAATCTTAATATATTTCAACAATATGAATATTTAAAGATTTCATTACGCCAATGCGTTGCTGAAAAATACAAAAATTGTGTCGTAGAAGTGTTGTGATTACAGGAAAAAAAGCAGTTTTTAAACAAAATACTTTGAAAGTTATGACTAGACTGCCTCTTTTTAATTACTGCTTCATAAAAAAAAAACTCTATTTTATTTTTGAATTGTTTATTTTATCATAGTGGCTTATAAATAATATTTACTGAAGCCCATACTTTTTGCTATTGTGCTTGCTTGCATCCTTCTGTATGTCATTTACCCTCTCTTTTAAGTAGTAGAGTAAACAACGCCAATAAAGTAGGCGAATCCAATTTTCTTTTTGAATACCCTCCATCAGGGGATTTCCTTCACAGTATTCTGTTATTGTCTTAGTACTCCATATGTAGGTAAGGGGTACTATTGGCTAGTAGTCATACATGATTCCATCGATCACAAAACATCCACATACATATATTGGTTATTGATATTAATAAGACAAAAAATTGTGAATAATTTTTGGAACAGAAGAACTTTCCATCCATTAAAAAAAATCATGTTAAACTTCTTATATATATACTTCCAAATATTTATAGGTGTGTCACGATATTTGTGTAAAAAATACTAAAATATTTAAAACAGAATATCGTGTACCCTTCACTATAGATCCCAGCTTCGTTATTCTGACATCGTTTTCCTGTTCGGAACTGAAGGAGCCATGCTATGTACACATTCGCACCGAACAAATCAGATGACATCGACGTCATTATATCGAAATATGAAATCTTGTGTGGAATATTTCGACTCTAAAAATTCATATATTTCATCTTCAACTTGCAAATGGGAGCTCGAACTTCACAAAATGAAGTTGAAATCACTTCATAAATGGGTGTCGGGAAAACCATGATAAAAATATATTTCTTTCAATACTTTTTCAGAAAATAAGACAACGCAGATAGAGGAATTTGAAATGATTCAAACATATAATCAATGAGAAGTAAACTTGATAGTGCTTTCTGTCTTTTAAACTGTAACAATTAAAAATGAATGAAGTTTTCTGCTTATGAATGGTTATTGCAAATTTTCGTCAATTGTAATGTGAAATACAAGACAGATTTTATATTTAATATATCACACAAATTGTTATTAATTTTCTTTATGTCATTAAAATGTCATTTTATTTACGAATAGTCGTAAAATTTTTGCGTTCTGATATTTTAATGATCGCCTTTGATCACATATTCACTTAAAAACTAACAAACATTTTATAAATTGTTAACCAGCTTGTATTTTTACATGAGGGGACGGACAGACATACTTAAAAATTTATTTAATAATTTATATACCTAATTTAAAAATTGTGACAACAATTTCTTCTAACACGAGTATTGCGCTTATGAATAAGGCTTCTATCTATAACTGTGTATCGTAGTGAAGTTCCAGGATTATTACACGGACTATAGATTTCATCCCCCACAGCGTACTTTCATATTATGGACTCATCCACATACCAGGTCTTTTGTATTTCTAATTTCAAATCGTTAGTGTCATATTATTACTGTTTTGTATAATATAGGAAATTGTACATAGCTTTGAACTACTAGCCTCACCTCTAAGGCTTCTGCAGTGATTACAATAACGTAAAAATTAAAGGCAGTGTCCTATTGACATACATTACTATTAAATTTTAATGTAATTCTATTTATTTAACACTAATATTTCAGTTACAGCTTCATCTTTAGCTTAAACTTTACTCGTATTTTAATAAGATTTCGCAACAGATTTCTATGCAAAAAAAATTAAAGTGTTGTAACAATATAATAATTGTACTTTTACAATTTTGGAGCAATTAAGAAAATATAATTAAAATGTGGTCTTTTTATATATGTTTTCATCTAACACCATTCCAAATAGAAATAGGAAAGTAGGTTAGAGAAAAGTCACGAGCTGCAGTGCAGTAAACAAGGTGAGTAAATCAAATTGAATGGATAACATGTACAGTACTTAAGCGCTGAAAACTTTTAACTTTATGTACCTAATAATAAAAATCGACTTCTTTAGTGTTAAATATGTATTAAATACTAAAAGGAAATATCATTGTAATTAATTCTGGAAAAAACATGTTAGGTTTTTTTTTTTTTTTTTATGTTAAAGGTGGCAAACGAGCAGACGGCCCACTTGATGGAAGGTGGTTACCGTCGCCCATTGACATCCGCAACAAAGATGTTGCGGATGCGTTGCCAACCTTGTTTTATAGGGATAGGGAGGGGTGGGAATAAGGATATTGTAGGAAAGGGTGGGAATAGGGAAAGGGCAACCGGCTCTCTCACTCATCGGACGAAACGCAGCCATTAAAGGATACTTCACGCCGATCTTCTGTGAGAGGGTGGTACTTCCCCGGTCGAGCCAGCCCGTGTTCGAGCTGTAGTAACTAACCACAGCTAGGCTCTACCACCTAAACAAAGGCTCTACCACCTAAACAAACTAACCACAGCTAGGCTCTACCACCTAATCAAAGTGGTTTTCACAAAGTTTTTATTTTCTCTAATTAAGCTGTTAGTCAATCTATTGCTAAGTTTAGTACCTTTATTTTTTTAAAGGAGAATATCATAAAACGTTCCCTCTGACCCGGGGTGAAGCAAGAAGGAGTGTCAAAAAACACGATATTACAGAGAATTTTCAGTAATTTAAACCGCAAAGTGATCGTGAAAGCTGTTTCATGATCACTTCTTGTTCCTCACCGTCAATTTCGATTTTCATTAGTCATTGCGGTATGAAATCAAAAAGTACCGTAACTTTTTAAGTTTTTTCAACTTTTTTTACATGATTTCCTCCAACAACTAATAATTCCTTCCAAGTATTTCTACGAAATTACAACGCTAAGATCGTATCCCATTTCGTTAAACAAAGGAATAATTTTCTGGAATAAAAAGGAAACGGAGCAAAAAAACACATCTACATACATTTGAAACATTCGAATTTGTGATTCCTTAAACAAATGCAAATTATGATTTATGATCAAAGGGATTAATTGAATAAAGTGCGGTTATAAAAAATATATATTTTTAATATTAATTTGTTTTAGAGGTAATAAATAATTTTTTTTCACTGCTGAAGTTGACACACTTAACAACTGAACAATATTTTTTTTTTTTTTTAATATATAAATAAACGAAACAAACTATACTAATTTGCGTTTCTAAGGAATTGTGAATTGAGTTCAAATATCTCAGTAGTCTTAATTACGTAATGATGGTAGAGAAAACGAAGTATTCTCATGGGAGCGCCTATAAAAATGTTAAGTATAGTAATTAGGATTGCATTTTTTATTTCTGAATTCATTTTAACATTTACCTGTTGTACGCCAGAAAATCCTTAAAAACGGTTAGTAAATGAATAGGTTTAAATAAAAAGCACTTTTTTATGAAGGCGTTTATGGCAAAATAATATAGTGTAATCACAGTAATGTTTTTAATATCCTAAAGCCCATAGTGTTGGTTACATGTGATGCGAAAACGTTTAAAATTTTAAAGTATTTCAAACCATCCTTTGTTATCTGAAATATAATAAAAACCGTGAAACAACTGTAACATAATACAATTTATTTCTTTGAACGTAAACAGTGTATAGAATTTATTTATTATATTAAAGTTAGCATGATTTGTTTCACTTTAGAGAATAACATGATATGATAAACGATGTTAGAGATTTTTACAGAAAAGTGAAGACTTACTATAGATAAATATATCTGAAGTATCACGAGATTCGTATTCCATCAACGTTGACTCTTAATGAGGTGTACGTGAACCAATCGCCTCCCTTTTTCTGCGGTCAACCGTCGTTTTTATAGAAAATACATAATATATTGAATGATATGTGTTTTTATTTGAAAGCTCACAGAAAATAGGATATTGTTTCGAGTTAATGCAATTTAGTAACGTATTTTGTAGTTGTGTAATGTTTATAATATTTGTTCTTTTAAATTATGTAAAATGCGGTCTATTCTAGCATTAATTCAACTTAATTTACTTCCATTTAATGCCTTGTTGTTTATGATTAAATCCATCTAACTTTGATCAAAACGTAAGAAACTTGTACCTTGAAACGGCTTAGTTTTAAGTTTAATTGATACTCTCGGTCTTACTTAATCTAATTTGCACATATACAGCATAAATAGTTACAACACATTATAAAATATTTAATTCTAGGATAATGGATTTTAAAAACTTGTTACTAATTTAAAAAAAACTATAATATATACATATTTT